CCTGTAGTTTTTCAAATAAGCCTGATTAGGTGTTTCGAGTTGAATCTGAACTCTGCTGGGCTGTGGTCATCCAGGAACTGAGTTTCACATCACTGATCTAAAGCCACTTGGCTTCAATTTGTTTGCCTCCCTTGGCCCCCTCGTTTATATCTTCCGTGTCCTTTACAGAAACACTGGATCCACACGAGTTCCTCTGAAGGTTCCTGACACCATCACCACATGGGAGACTGAGGCGTTCTGCCTGTCCTCCAAAGGTTTTGGCTTGGCTCCTCCTGTTCAGCTGACTGTCTTCCAGCCCTTCTTCCTGGAGCTCTCCCTGCCTTACTCCATCATCCGTGGGGAGTCTTTTGAGCTGAAGGCCACAGTCTTCAACTATCTGTCCAAGTGCATCATGGTTTGGATTCATATTTATGTAATGGGTATTGGTGTGTGATTTTTGTAGTTCTGTTAGAGATGTGCAAGCTGATATTAGTGTCACTTTGCTTTGTGGGCGTTCACACCAAGTTGTAGCCTATTGTGCCCGTTAGAATTAGCCATGTAAAATACAGGGCCACCTTCCATGAGTATTGGTTTATCAAAATTAAGCAATCTCGCGTGCAAGAATGCTTAGTAAGTGTCTTAATTTCGGTCACTGCTATGAACTGACCACCACACTAAATATGAAAACTTCAGTAGACCGCTGTCCCTCACGGGCTTAATCCAGCCAAGTTACTAGCACAAAAACTCCATCCTAGAAAATGAAGCATGTCAATATCACACACCTCTAAATGGCTCCGTAGAGAATCTTTTACTTGATGTGCACTAATCCTGCAATTCATTGGCAGGTTAAAGTGACTCCAGCTTCTTCCTTGGACTTCAGTCTTAAACCTTTTAATGAGCCGTATTCATCCTGTCTCTGTGCCAATGGGAGAAAGACCTTTAAATGGATTCTCTCCGCTTCTGTTCTCGGTCTGTTGCACGGTCTCTTTCTAAATTGAGGTGTACGTGAGTTGTTGCTCACTTCTCTGTACTATAGGATCTGTAAATGTGACTGTCAGTGCTCAGGCTGAACAATCCCAGCTTCGATGTGGCACTGAGGTTGTGACCGTGCCAACAAGAGGACGCATTGATGTAGTTACTCGCAGTCTACTGGTTCTGGTAAGTGTCAACCAGGTTTCTGGAGTTTGCTCATGGAGCTCATGCTGCTTTACTGATGTGGCTTTTTTTTTTTTTTTTTTAAATAGCCTGAAGGAGTTGAAAGGATCTTCACCCAGAGTTGGTTAT